GCAGCGCCGGCTCCCCCGGGAGGGCCATCCCCCCGCGCCGCCGAGCGCCAACACCGCCGACGCTGTGGCTGCCCGAGCCCGAGCCCGAGCCCGAGCCCGTCAGTCAGTCAGGAAGGAAGGAAGGAGAAATGGGGAGGGAGACGAGGGAGGAAAATTGCGCGCAGGGTGAAGAAAGGAGAAGGGCGAACGAGACGAGCTTCCAACCCAAAAAAGGGCTGGAAGACTGGGAGGATGAAGGATCGGGAAAGAAAGCGACGCCTTCCCTGCCCGCGACCGTCGCCCGCTTGTCATTGGCAGCGCAGCGGAGGACAGCTGCGCGGCTAGCAAGGTGCGCCGCGTAGAGCGCGGTCCTTGTGTGGCCCGGTGGCCAGGCAAGCTCGGGCGGGGACCCCCATGCGAATCTAAGACGGGAGAAGAGGGCAGAGCAAAGGGGGTCCCTTCCCCAACCTCCGGCTCTGAGACTTCCCTGCACCCCAGAAAAGCGAAAGGATTTTCCCTTTTTTATATATAAATATTTTATTAAGTTTTCAAATACAAAGTTAGAAACATACACTGAAGAAAAAAGTAAAAGAACAAGAAAAAGAAAAAAAGAAAAAGAAGAAAAGAAAACCAACCATTCAACACATTTTTTATATAACTAACTGGGCTTCCTCGCATCTCCCTTACCCTGCATTCTTTATAATAAAGATATCAGCAAATTATTACCTTGTTTCGTACCTTATTTTGTACTTTTCAAATACTATACCTCTAAATTTAACATACTTTTCATCAGTTACTTATATCTTAAATTAAACATAGTATTACCTTAGATTTTGACCTTTTCTTACTTAAAATATAATTTCCTGTTTCCCAAATCTAATTGCTGAAGCTATAGTTTCCGAATCGTGTAAATTTTTAACATTCATACAACTTATATTGTTTTTGTAAATAGTCCTTAAATTTTTTTCCAGTCCTCTTCCGTTGTTTCTTCTCCCAAATCTCGGATTCTGCCAGTCATTTCAGCCAGTTCCATGTAGTCCATCAATTGCGTCTGCCACTCTTCCAGTGTGGGCAAATCTTGTGTCTTCCAATATTTTGCGATAAGTATTCTTGCTGCTGTAGTTGCATACATAAAGAAAGTTCTATCCTTCTTTAACACTTTCTGGCCAACAATGCCCAAGAGGAAGGCCTCTGGTTTCTTGGGAAAGGTATACTTAAATACCTTTTTTAACTCATTATAGATCATTTCCCAGAAGGCCTTCACTTTTGGACAAGTCCACCAGATCAAGGGAAGTAATAGTGCCACTGTATTCTGCTCTGGTCAGACCTCACCTGGAGTACTGTGTCCAGTTCTGGGCACCACAATTCAAGAAGGACACTGACAAACTGGAACGTGTCCAGAGGAGGGCAACCAAAATGATCAAAGGCCTGGAAACGATGCCTTATGAGGAACGGCTAAGGGAGCTGGGCATGTTTAGCCTGGAGAAGAGGAGGTTAAGGGGTGATATGATAGCCATGTTCAAATATATAAAAGGATGTCACATAGAGGAGGGAGAAAGGTTGTTTTCTGCTGCTCCAGAGAAGCGGACACGGAGCAATGGATCCAAACTACAAGAAAGAAGATTCCACCTAGACATTAGGAAGAACTTCCTGACAGTAAGAGCTGTTCGACAGTGGAATTTGCTGCCAAGGAGTGTGGTGGAGTCTCCTTCTTTGGAGGTCTTTAAGCAGAGGCTTGACAACCATGTGTCAGGAGTGCTCTGATGGTGTTTCCTGCTTGGCAGGGGGTTGGACTCGATGGCCCTTGTGGTCTCTTCCAACTCTATGATTCTATGATTCTATGACCCCGAGCCTAGGCTTCCTTCCCGCACCCCGCTTTCCGAAGACCGCACACCAGTTGGGCCAGTACATATTCCCCTCCCGTGACTGGAGCGGAATAGCCCTTTCTCTTCTTCCCCAACCCTTGTCGTTGGAGGAGCCCCTCAGTCCCTCGCTTTGCTGCCTCCCCACCCCCCACCCCCAAAGCTTGGAGGTTCCCCGGCAAGGGGGAGGGGAAAAAATTGAAAGTTACACTTTCGTGCGTCCCTCCCGGCGTGACGCTGCGCGCTGACGTCACGGGGCTGTAATGGTGGTGTGCCTCGAGATTTTTTTCATCAAACAAGTGTGCCTTTGCCCAAAAAAGGTTGGGAAACACTGTCCTAGTACATTGTCCCAGGCAAGGAATGTGCTGTCTGGATTGTCATTGCTTTCAGTGGCAACAAAAGTACAGTATGTTTAAAGTTAAGAAATTGTGTGGAGAGGGTGGGTGTGCTGCCAACATCACTTCTCACAGTAAGTCCCTTTCTCCTGAAAATAGTTATTTTATGCCCAATGGAGAAAAATAGCCAAACAGTCCCAACTTTCACAGCTGTGAATGGGCATTCAAAATATTCACCTCAGCCTAATTGGGCTGACTTACAAATATTAATTTGAACTAGCCATATCTTGGATCACAACCATCTGCTCTTCCTTAACATCACTTAATTTTGAATGTTTTACACTACTAGACACATAGTGCCAAATCACTAGGTCATTTCCCCCATTCTTATAATGGCTAAAAAGTAAGACTGCTTCATCTCATAAAATTTCCAGGGTCATTTTCACATGCATTTCAAGATACCTTTATATTTTTTCTGTTCATTGCTTAGCAGACTGACCTGGACTATGTACCAAAAGGCCAGGCATGTGACCACAGATGTTTGTATCTTGACATACATCTAGCAGTCACCCATAATGTAGAATAAGATCTTATGGCTCCCTTGCTTGATTTATCAGTTGATGCACAGGAGAACAAAATGAAGGTAGATGCGAAATTTAAATGTGTTCTAAAAGTTTCGCTTGTGAATCTGCAAGGTTTCTACAAGGAAGTAAAGTGTGCGTCCAATACAGATACAATGGAAATAGATAATGTATCTTGGAACAATATTTGAGATAGGGAATCATTATTGTCCCAACTTCCTTCTCATATGTGAGTTCCTAAGGGTGAAAATATTTTCTCCAGAGCTTAAAAGAGAGACTTCTATCAATTGTCATTTCCATGCACAAAATGTCTAGTGTTCTGTGATGATTCCTGAAATTGGCTTGTTTGTAGAAAACCATCAGCAATCTTCAGGATGGGATTATATAATGATGTTGACTCATAATGCCACTTACATGCTGATTTCTGTCAGATGCTAATTTAGTGCATGCATATTTGAATGAAAAATAATATTTTATAACTTTCTGTAACCTGCAACATTCAAAGTTTTTAAAACGTACTTGTATTCATTGCAGCCTTTAGTTGTCTGTTAGGGACATTCTGAATCCATCTGGGGGAAAAATAATTTTCTAAATGCTATCATCAGTCCTAAATAAATAAAGCCAGAGAATTATCAGTAATTTTACTGTTTGCTTTTCCTGCTCTGAAAAATTGCAAAGGGGCACGGCAATACTTTTTCTTCTGTTTGGCAATTCATTTTGTTTGTCCTTAAACATCTCTTGTATTTTTGTAAACTTTATGTGACCTTAGAGATGCTTCTCCGCTCTGACCCAGATGGTGCTGTTCATAAGGGGGAGGGGAGCAGCCATTTAGCCCCACGGCAGGGGGTCCAAAGGCAATGAGAGCTCATCAGTTTCTATGGACTTGCCTTTTTGCGCCTGTGTTCCTCTTTTGGCACAGTCAGGATTCCCTTGTGCTAATTGCTGTAGTACAGTGAAATAGAATGTGTATCTGGCAAGAGATGGCTTGCAAAATTGTTTCCCATCTTGCTCTGGGATGCATTAAACAGAGGGTACAGCTTCTAAAGAAAATACCAAGCAATGTAAGTGTAAATGCACAGCAAGGACAATCTCTTGCCTTTTGCGAGGGGAGAATGTTTGTTGTGGGGACATTATTCCTGGCAGCATTCCCACACCCCTTGCAAAGTCACAAGTGAATAGACTTTATATGGCCTAATCTTGCAGAAGAAACCCTAAGTTTTCTGCAACCGTAGGCAGCTTCTACATAAAGGCGCACAATATTTTTACCCCCTTGTGCATCCTCCAAGTCTCAGTGCCATTAAACTGGTGGCATTCTTATTCTCAAGGCCACCCTCCAAGCAGTGTAGGGTACAAGTTCCAAAAAACAATTGCCTTATGCTGTTCCTAGGGAAAGGGAGAAATTCAGTTCAGTTCACATTTAAAGGCAAACCTGCCTAACTGCTTTCCGAAACAATATTCAAACTGGAACACGGCCATCCTTGAAATTCACTCTTCTCCAAATTTTGCAGCACAGTTCTTCAGCTAAAGAATGTATATGCAAAAAAATGCATGTACTAGAGTCAAGTGTGCATAAAAATGTAAACTTTAGCAAAAATAAGAGAAAATGCGTTAGCTTAGGGGAAACTGCTTTGGAAGATGTTTATATTAGGCAGGATTGCTTACATTGAGTATATTAGGTAGAAATTCACACTACAATTCTGGTGAATTTTCATGACATTTAAAGAAAAAAATTCAGAGTGATGTGAGAATGTGTAGAAATGAATTTAAGATTGGAAAAATAAGAAACAGAGAAGAACATAAACTGAAAGATTCTCCCATCCCTAGTCGTTCCTTTCTAGGGATGAGTCTGTTCTTTCTTGGAACTACAGCAATCAGATTGAAACAACAATTTCATTAGATGATAATGAAAAGATCTTTACTTGGTGCCAAAAAATAGAACAGACTTAGAACCAGGAAAATCTCCCTAGGATAGCACCACCAAGAAGCCACTATCACCAGTCATTACCCATCTCGCATCAGCCAAAACGGGGACCAGAAGAAGGGACTTTAAATATAGCTGTACTATGAGGATAACATTTCTGACCTAGTTTGCATTGCTCCTATAAGGATTACTGAGAGAAAACATTTTTCTCCTGAGCACAGCATCTGCATATTGTGGACAGCTTGAGAATGAAACTCACGACGGCATTCATACATTTATGTTCACAAATGTTCTTCCCAACCATATGAGTGCTCTTGTGCACTCAGGTGCAGATATATCTACTTTCATTAAAATGACTGGCTTTATTTCTGGCACTAAGTTTTTATCTTACAATACTCAAAAGTCACTTTTTGCAAAGCTAAAGTAGATCATAGGATATAGGCTTTGTAGAGAAGGATGCAGTTTATATTTGTCTGGGGTCTCTTTGTTTTGCTGCAATGATGTAGTTGTCTGTTTTTATTTTAAATATAGGTATTTGGTCAAACTACAATGAAACTCCTGAGAAGGAAATCCATTCTTCTGACTGGTTACTTGGAATATTTGATAAAGCATTACTATAGTGAAGATACAAATGACCCCGAGCAGCCCTTTGTAAGAATAATCACACCTTCCCAAATTGAAGAAAGAGGATGCCAGCTCACACTGGTCTTCTCAGTTCCAATTAAGGATATTTTTAAAGAGTTGGAAAAAAGAGGTGTCGCTGTAAGTAACCAAGGCTTCGCATTGCTTTATTTAACAAAGATAGTGGGCTGTGTGATAATTCTAGAATTGCTTCTATTCACCGCTGCTTAGGTCAGAAGGAAGAGGGGGAATCAGAATACCGATACGGTTCTTCAAAACACATAAATTGGTTTATGGTGGTGTTATTATGTTTGCCCTGGGGGACAAACAAAATAAAATATATAAGGTGATACCTTTATTGTAGACTTCCCCAGCAAAAATAAATGTGTGCATGCAAGAAAAGGTATCACTTGACTATCTTGAGCATTTTAAGGCTTAATTCAAATCACTTTTGAAGCTGTCTATATTGTATTGGACTTATAGTAGTGGCACTGATTAACTGAGCTGGTGTGATGGCCTGGAACGCTCACAGAACTAAACAGTTCGCAGTTCAGCTTCTGGAAGAGAACAGAAAGTTGCCAGTTGGGCTAGGATTAAAATCTTGCACAGGAATAGATTAAAGACTGGGGAGAGGTCCCAAACAGGAACTGTAGAGGTGAGGAGGCTGAAGGTAGAATGCAGAAGAGTGAGTAATGGGCTGAGTAGTTAGAAGAGAGTGTAGTTCAAAAGGAGTTGAGAGTAGAAGACAGAGGAAATGGAAAACTGAGGCAAGAAGGGCCAAGTTGGAGAAAAGGATCTGAAGCAAATCCACAGCATTAAGATTAAGAGGAGTTGTGTGCTATGGAAGGGGAAACTAAACTGTGAAGGCATCTGCCCAGGAAAGAGGGGGCCCCGCTTGTCACCTTCCTCATATCTTTCTAGCCACTGACAAAACAAAAGTGAGAGGTTTTTACAATCTACTAGAAATGGCTTCTTAACGTATCATTTGAAAGGGCGGTATGTGCCTATGTGTTTCAATAATATGCTGCCATGACAGTCTCTCAGCTATTACTTATTTATCTACTTTATCATTCTTGCTCTCCACTGCCACTATATTTCCCACCCACAATCCCTTTTCCTCACAAGAATTCTCAGAATCCCAGAGCACCAACATTCTAGAACAGCAGGTCTTTGGGGGCCACCACCACAATTCCCTTTTCTTTTAAGAAACCAATCCTGAAAATCAGTATTAACTGATTAGACACATGACTATTAGTTTCCTACACCTTCCCTGTGTAGGAAATGACAATCTGGGCTCCTAAAGCAATGGGATTTCTTATTCCTTTATTTCTGCATTGGTCCTTGTCCTCTGGCATAGGGTGTGACTATGCCAGAGCTCAGAGATCTCTGAAAACATTCTGATGCATATAGCAACTAGTTTCCAAATATCACATAATAACTCATTTGTATTAATTTCTCTTCCCCTTGTCCCCCTGATTTTTCAGCTTGGAATGGCAAAACATGAATTAGTATCTACCTTCCCTTCTAAAAAAAGGCTTATTGTGATTTTAACATCCCAACCCTACACTTAGTTACATAGCAGCAAGCCACATTAAACATGAGACTTACTTCTTTGAGTAAACATATATAGAATTGCACTGTAAAATATACCATGGAAAAATCAATACCAAGAACCCTAGCTCTCCATCTTTCCCCTCTATTCTCCGTTTATATGGGCCACAAATGGGAGAAAGCATTGTATTTGGCCAGCATTATAACAGGAGCACAAACTTTATGTTAGCTTTGCTGCTTTTGGAGTTTGGCAAACAAATATGAAGCTATATTAATTTTCTAGATGTTTATTGGCTGTTTTGCAGTGTGACATTCGGGAACCCAATGCTCTCCGTGTTGCCCCAGTTCCTCTCTACAATTCTTTCCATGACGTGCACAGATTTATTGAAATCCTGGGATCTGCAATGGCATCTGTAAAGCAAAGAACAAACACTGCAGCACTTTCCTGATCTTACTGACGGTGCAGCTATACTTTTTAATCTCTTATGAAGATGCATCAATGCTTCTGAGCAATTTTTGTTTGTTTGTTTGTTTCTCTTGGGCTGGGCTATATGTATTCCACCCATTTGCCCCAAAAGATTAATTTTGCTTGGATAGTTATTTACAATAGATACACTTTTTATTAAAACTCATTATTTCTACTTATTTGGACTCCATAAATTAATATGCTTTATGTATTTTAATAGGGTTAGTCTTTAGCATTCTAGATACTTTCTTCATTTAGATAATTCTGGTTTACTTCTGACAGGCGAAACAGAAAGACAGCTGCAAACCTAATCTTTGTCTAATGTCACTGTGTGGAATAAGGCACTATATACAACTCTGTGGATATAACCTGCATTGGATTTTAAGCACAATTTCTATTAAAGGGAATTTTAATTTGCGCTGAAATTGTATTCATAAACATCTAAGTAGAATTTAAGAATTCACAAATGACTTAAGTTTTAGACATCTCAACTTTTGTTTAAATGTATTTAGCGTTTCTCATAAACCTTCTGCTGAGTTGCTTTGCTCACTTATAGCCGTTTATGAAGGATTTACAGCTCCCCTGGATACCCAGGCAAAATAATGGCCCAGAAGCCTGCTTCTTTAGAAGAACAGATCCAGGGGGATCCTGATCTATATCTATTTGGGCTCTTGTGGTCATCAAGGTATATGTGTTGACATCGTACCTCTGACATTGGTTTTAAAAGAGTGCCAATCTTCTGGAATGCTGAGGCATCGTACTGTTTTGTTCTTCAACGTGCTCAGTGATTGTGAAACACTTCCATTAAGCAAGTGGGGCTTGACTCCTAATTCAGTGTAGAATCATGGGCTTATCTTGTAAGTGCACCAGATGTGGTGTGATTGAGGCAAATGTATGCTGCTTAGTAAACTGTCACTGTAATCCACCACCATATCCGTCTAATCACTGGGCCATCTGAAAAATATTTGGACATTATGCTGTCTGAATATGTAAGGAGCAGCAAGAGACCAACATTTTGTACATCAACCATCAGTGTATATTGCACCAAACTCACTTTATCTCACTGTAACAAACTTTGCATTAATCTTGTACTTCAGAGGTTCCCCCTCCCCCAATATGTTGCATATGGGGAACTATAATCTATAAAGTATACATTTTGTATGAGAGAAATATGGCAAAATGAGTTGAGTGTGAAGACAAAGGAAAGCTGGAGAGCACAGTTCTGGTAAGTCTTGGTGGTATCTAGATAGCTGGTGATCCTTTAGTCCTTTTTAATACGTTTTTTTTCTGAACGCTTACTGGATATTCATAAAAATTATCTGGGTTTGTGTTTGAATTCAGCCATGATGCTATAGCCAGTTCTGAATGGATGTATTTGTATAAGACAGCTCTCTGCCAACGGGTATTCTTACAACATTTTCAGGGTACTTCTGATACCATGTGTGAATAAGCCCCAGGAAGCCTATGATAACTTACTGTGCTGTATAACATTCCATATATGCCACTTATTAAATAATGAGGAAAATGAGGACTTTAAAGAGTAACTTTTAAAAAGCAAACTTTTTTTTTTTTTTTGCAGAATTGTAACTCTGGAAATTTGCATTTTTAGTTACAGCAGGTAGTAAAGTCAAACCAATGGAGAATAACAATAACAGCAGCCTTCTGCATTGTTTTTGCTGCATTAGCAGCACTGAACTGGCCCCTCCAGGACACAAGCCTGGGCAGTGTGTTTGGAGGTCCTGGGCTGTTCAGATAACAAGACCCACCCCCCTCGGCCTTGCTGATGTGGTCCACAGGAATAAATTTGGTACCAGCTTGGCTGCAGGAGGAAGTGTATAAGACACCATCCAACCATCTTAGGGAGTCCACTCTGGATTTGTGTAACTCCTTGGCCTTTTATTCTCCTGAAGATATCCCACAAAGCAGTGGGTACAGATTTTTCCTTGGGGTTTACTCCTGAAGCAGGGATGCGGGTGGCGCTGTGGTGTAAACCACTGAGCCTCTTGGGCTTGTTGAACAGAAGGTCGCGGTTTGAATCCGTACGATGGAGTGAGCTCCCATTGCTCTGTCCCAGCTTCTGTCAACCTAGCAATTAGAAAGCATGCCAGTGCAAGCAGATAAATAGGTACCCGCTGCGGCGGGAAGGTAAACACCATTTACGTGCGCTCTGGCTTCTGTCACGGTGTTCTGTTGTGCCAGAAGTGGAAAGTTGTCTGTAGACAAATGCTGGCTCCCTCGGCCTGAAGCGAGATGAGCGCTGCACCCCATGGTTGCCTTTGACTGGACTTAACTGTCCAGGGGCCCTTTACCTTACTTTTACTTACCTTACTCCTGAAGCCTTCCTCACAAATGAGAATAGCTGCAAGGCAGCAGATGTTTAAGATCAGAGTTTTCATTCTCCTAGCTGGGCTACCTTCCCAGGTTGGTGAGCCCCATCTGCCCACATGCAGCATGCACTGTAACCAACTTCTTTTTACCATTTGTCCCACTACTGGTCTCATCCACTCAATCCGCCAGATTCATATGCAGGGGAAGTCCCTAATTCACCAAGAGTTTGAGACCCATCGGCTACCCTCACCTGGTTTAACCAGCCAGCCAAAGCCATTTCCTGGGGTGTAACAGCTTCTAGGATCCACAGGTGAGAGTTGAGTGCAGGGTGGGGACCAAAGGTGGTCAAACTAGCCCAGAAGGAGCATGATGTCTCCTCCACCAGAGTACTACCCCTCCCCTAACACCCCATACACCCCAGAAACAGTGTACAGTACAGTAATACAAAATACAAAAGATTAGACTCTAAAACTCAATAAAACCATTTATATAGTTCTACAAGTAAAATTTCGAAAAAACTGAGTAACCAGGGAAAGCCTACACACACACGTGCCACACACACACAAACACAGAGAGAATCTTCAGCAGCCACCTAAATATCAAGACACTAAGTAATTGTTTAATTTCAGCTGGTAATTGATTCCAGAGGGTTCAGTTTCTAGTACGAGCTAAGTGTACCTTTGGGACAAGTGGTATTGGCCAGTGACTCTGAGAAGCGCAATTGCAGGACAAGGTTACATATGAGGGGAAATTGTTCATAAGGGGTCAATGGGCACTACCTGACTCACTCTCACCATGTTTCCTTGACTGATTTTCCTGTAGTTTTCACCTTTGTGCAGGGGCTGGTACACAGGGTGAGCCTATGTTTGACACTCCTGCAGTCACTAGTTAAAGACCTGTTGCAGACTTGAGTGCTGACACTATAAGCACAGAACTTTTTGTGTGTTCACATTTACCATATAAATCCACTGGGAGTCTGGGACTGGTTCTGCTACTCTGTAGAATCTATGTCAGAACTGTAGTTCCCCAGCTTGAAGAAGCCGGAGAGAGAAGAACAGGATGGTTTTATTGCTTTGTCAAATGATGCCTTCATATCTCAACACTGCCATTTTCCTAGAATATATGAGCTGCTAGCTCAGACCAGTAGTTCGCATGGTCCAATACAATTGTGATGGGCAGAAGCTTTTCAAAGCTTGAGACAAGTCTTTCTCATCTCAGTTTCCTGGGATTATTTAACACTGAGGCATCAGGAATTGTATATAGGTTCTTGGGGGTGCAAAAAAATAGCTGAAACATACTTTATGCTTCTTCAAGTGTTGTGCTCACCTTGAATGTGTACCTACAACTGACTGGAAGATGATGCAACAGAGCTTCCCAAAGCTTTGATGTCAGCCATGGGCCTTTTTGGGGGTATTTTCTACGAGCTGCAGAACAGCATTTTATTCCTAAAATTGTTAGAAAATGCATCTCAAGGAAAATACTCAAACTTAACATTAGGTGTCAGCATTTTACATATTATTTGCTGAGAGTAAGATAATCCCAGAAGAGCTACAGCACAGAAAATAAATGGTTCAGGCTTTCATTTCATAAAGCTTTGTGTTACGATAACTGGAATAACAAGAACCAACAACCTGTTTGAGTCAAATAAAACATACGTTTTCATACCTCTATCACAAGCAACTCATTTAAATATCATTGTTTAACTAAAAAAAAAATGGACTTCTGATGAAATAATACTTTCATGACTAAAAGAAAAATGGAACACTTGAGTGGAAAAAAGAACAGGAATAATGGATAACCGCTTTTTTTTTTTTACAATCAAGTGTTATATAAATCTTATGAAATAATATAGGAATGTTGTAAAATCATCTACAACCACGTTTTCAGGCATGGTGACAAACTTTTTCTGCTTGTTCGCATTTACTTCATCAACTACCTACATCATATTGTATTAGAATATTGAGACCCAATCAAACAAAGTCAAGTTAGTGCTTCACTAACTTAGAAAAGAAAACCCCACTTTGCATGTTATCAGTAATCATTTAAAAGCAACCCTTGTGCTGCTTGGCAAGCAGTTTTCTTTGCGTTCAAAATCTGCATTATAAATTTACATGATAGGTGAACTGGCAGTACAGATATGTTTGTGCCACACGTGCACCAATCAGGAAACCATTTTGAAAAAAATACCCAGGCCATGTTTCACAGGAAACTTGCATTCTCCTGCCCATAGCTTATCTAGATATCAGAAAATTGTGGTATCTGAAGTAGTCCTCATGGGAATGGACAATCCAAACAAATCTAGAATATGGAAATAGTTTTGTTTCCTCACCTAATGTGAAATTGTTCCCTTCAAAGTGATCTTTTTGTCAATATTTGTGAAATCTATTTATATGGCTCCTGCAGTTGTACGATGAACTTGATAAAGATCAGCAATTCCTATTTTTTACATTCACAGCATGTTTTTATTTTTAAAAAACTAACATAAATGTACTATTCTATGCATCATTTTATGTTTCCTGTTAAATATAAGTGAAAATTGATTGGGGCATTTCTCCATGGAATTCTATCTTTATTTCATCATAATTACTTCTTATTTGAATAATGACAGATGAACTGCTTCATTCAACTGCAGTTTTTTTAAAAGCTTTGAAGTCACAATAACAGCACCGGATTTAAATCCTGAAGCTATTATTGTGGCAGGAAAGAGATCGGGGGGTGTGGGGATTAAAACTTGGGGTCCTAAAAAGAAAATACCGTATTTTTTGCTCTATAGGACACACTTCCAAAAATGGAGGGGAAATGTGTGTGAGTCCTATGGGGCGAATGCAGGCTTTCGCTGAAGCCTGGAGAGCGAGAGGGGTCGGTGCGCACCGACCCCTCTCACTCTCCAGGCTTCAGGAAGCTCTCCGCAAGCCTTGGAGCCCGCGGAAGTTCCCGTCGGGCTCCCTAGGCTTGCGGATAGCAGCCTGCATCTCAAAGCCTGGGGCGCGCTGCATAGCGCGCCCCAGGCTTTGGTTCCCCAACCTGGTTTGGAGGCTGGTGGCGGGGAGAAGCGTGCTTCTCCCCGCCGCCAGCCCCACAAACTGGGGT